AACCATTCTTTGTTAAATCTCAATGCTTGCTTTACTCTTTATTAATGCTATTTTATCTCATTTTCTCCACATGAAAATACTGTCATATAAGTCCTAAAATATTTTACCATGGTGACCCACTGAGGTGTTGCCTTTACTGATGCCTTCCTGTTTTCCAGCTCAGGCATGTGAACACGTGTCCTACAAAAAGCTGGACTCCTGCATGGGCTGTCTGGTGTGGGATTATTTATCCTGACAAGTGAGCTGGGGCACAAAGCCTGCCTTGCCTATGGGCATGGCAAGTATGGATCAGGAGTTTCACCCCCTTAGCTCATGGTCACAAAGCCATGGTTCTGCAGCCTGCAAGTCCACTGAAGACACCAGGGACCAATCCATGTGTTCAGCAGAATTTGGATTATCCTCTGTGTGATTCCTGTTGGGATCCCCTTGTTCTGCTCCAGCATGCCCTGGCAATTGGCTGGGCAGTCTCTGCAGCAAGGGCAGAGGGGTCTGTCTCCAGTGTGTGGAATCCTGCCACCCCAGGGACACACCATCACCACAAGGGGGAGGAGAAGACAGCCAAGCCTGGGAGCTGACCCCTCCAAACCCGGCCTGTTGGCACTCCTGCTGGAGTCCAACGGCAGGCACAGGTCCTGCCACCAAAGGCACTGCTGCCTGCCCCTTCCCTGAGCCACAGCTCCCAAGTGCTGCACATGCTGCTCCGTGCTGGGCACTTGGAGCAAAGGGAGAGTCAGGGACTGAGCCTTTGGCCATGGGCAGGAGGGGAGGGAGGGCATTATTGGGTAGGAGGTGGACAAAAGGGCATTATTGCCTCAGAGCAGGGTGCAACCCACACCCAAGGGAGCTGCCTAAGTCAGTCAGCACTGCTGGACTCTCCACAAATGGCTTACCTTCCTAAAGCACAGGGAAAAGCTCCCCAGTAAGAGCAGTGTGCACAGCCAGAGCAGTGCTCAGAGAGGCACTGGAAATCAGGTCTGCTCAGGAGAGTGGCAAAGGTAAACACATCCCTCCCATTTCTGCTCCATCCCACAGTGCTCCTGGGTTCAGTTCTTAGGACTGTAATTAGTAAATCCCACTGATTCCCCCCAAGAAGGGAGGCTGAGGGACACTGCAGCACAAAGGGAAGCAGTGATTTTGTTCTTTCCCCTCATACCTCCCACCTGAGCACCTGGTTTTTGCTGCCACAGAAACCTCCCCAGGGTCCCAGCAGCCAGGGAGGGCTGGCAGAGGAAGCAAACCAAAGAAAGGATCTGTTTGCCCACAAGTATCACAAGGAACTGAGAGCAGTGAAAAGAAGAATTCTAAAATCTGTAGTTGGGTCTGCTATCGAGTGGAATGTTTGCCATTGTTTTCAGAGACAGCAGCTTCTCTTCACTGTGAGGAAGTTAATAGATTACTGGGCAGTGAATAATGTGCAGTTCTATTTACATCCACTGCTGGGACTATTTTGGGCCCTCAGATAGCGTATCTGTTCTCAGGTCTTTCTAAAAGCAGCATGCTACACTTTTTTTGCAAGCAATTCTGGGCAGCAGCTACAACCATATGCTTCAGTCAGCTACAAACTAGACAGATCATTGTTTGTTTGGAATTTTTTTATTAAACCAATTGTGCTGGATCAATGCTTCCTCTAAGCAATAAAATACAATTCTGTCTACCCAGTGGAAGAGCTTTCAAAGTCACAGATAAATCTTGATCTAGGAAACACAGTGTGGCTCTGCACTGATGTGCAATCAACCACAGATGCAAATGAACTCCAGCTGCCAGCACACACATCTGCACCTCAGAACGGGAGCCAGGATTCTTAATTTTCATTAGAAATTGTTAAGACACCTTTTAAGTGCTTCTAGAACCAGCCCACTGCATTAGTCAGGAGTACTCAGGGGCACTGAGCTTGATTTTTATAAAGGTCATTTGATGTCTTTTCCCCTCACAATGGACTAAAAGCAGAGATCAACAGAGCCTGAATCTATATTAATTTGTTTTACTCTTGGAGGGTCATAGATTTGCCACTGGAATTAGCCCTGTTAGATGCTAAAATGGTAATTTAATGAGACAATGATGAAAGCCTCTGTTCCATTCCAAATCAGGAACTCCTCTGGAAGCAGAGTGCGAAGGAGCAGCGACTCCGTGGAGTCGGGGAATTGCACCAATGTCATTTCACAGCAGTGCATCGGCCTGGAGTGTTCCATGCAAACTTCCCAGCTCCAGCTGCCCGGAGCCGCCAGTCACGAGGGCTGGAGCCCTGGAGCCTGGAGATGCACCTCGCTCACAGAGGGGAGGCAGCTTCCTCCAAAGGCACAGAAAGCCAGCTCGGGCTCTAAACCTTTTCTTCACTTTGAAACTTGACCAGCAAACGCTGCTGCAAAGCCTTGGTTCCAGGCAAGGGCAGGATAATGGAGCCTCCAGATCCCGAGGCTCCGGGATCCGCAGGCGGCTGGAGCACGGAGCAGTCAGGAATTGCACTGCGTAATTCCCCAAGCACACAGCACCCTCCTTGGGGGCACGCATACAGCTCTTGCAAATATTTTGATAAGAACTGCTCTTTGGTGCAATCTGCTGCATTTCAGAGGTCAAGAAATGTTAGCCATATTCACGGGAGATGTTTCCAAGAGATATGCTTTAGCAGAGGGCAAGGGGAACACAAAGCCCAAACAGAAGGTGGGAAGGCTCCCACTCTTCCCCCTCAAGGCAGCCATTGCCCACAGGTCACTTTCCATGGAAGCCCCTGCCCTAAGCAGCACTGCTATCCAAACAGACCTGCTGCAGGTGACCTAGAAACAGGGGTGAGCAAAGTCTCCCCGGGAACATCCCCCCTGAGCAGGCAGTGGTGCATCCACTCCTGCCAGCCTCGCACATGGCTCCAGACATCACCCCAGTGCCCCGGCCCAGGGGGACAGCAGGGACACTCCGTGCTGCTGGGCTGGGCTACACCAGCTCACAAGGAACCAGCCCACCTGGAATGTGCCCACAGGCACAGACAGCAGCTCTCTGTGCCTTCCCAGCCCCATCAGGGCAGGGGCTGTTGCTAACACCAGGAGTCACCCATGCACCCACAGAGCTCTGCACGCACAAACAGCTCAGTGCCAGCAGCTCCGTGCCATCATGTGGCTCACAGAGCCAGGGCTTGCCAGCAGACTCCATTCCTTTGGGCAAGGCCTCATTAGCCAAGTGCCTCAGGAAGGAAAAGTTACCTCATCATCTCACAGAATAAGCACTGGCTCTGTAGGAGCCTTAAAATCCCAAACTCTTGGGTACATCTCACCTTGGGCAAGGTGGTTACCTCATCTCCTGCTGCTGAAGTTTGCCAGGCTGGCTCTGTGCTGAAATCAGGCACAGATATGGAAGGGAATAAACCCACTACAGAGACAGAAGGGTATGGAAGCTGAACACTGCTTTTGCCTAACTCCAGATCCAGCGCAGAGACTAAACCCCAAATTTCCTGAGGGTGCGACACGCAGAGCACGCCTTTCTAGAATAACCCCAGAAAACCCAGCAGTTAAACTCCAGACTCATGGCAAATACTGCAAATATAGCTGAGAGTATGAAACTGGCTTTGCTTGTTTGAAAGCTGCCCATTCTCACACGTCAGTGTTTGGGAGCTATTACTTGGTCAGTCTCACTGGGAGGGAATTTTCCCCTGGTTCCAGTGTGGGATTGGGTAAGGCTGCGCTTGCAAGGACTCTGCATCATGCTGGAGCTGCTGGAAACCCTCCTAAGCCCAGTCAGCTGTGTGCTTGGGACACTTGAATGCACTGAATTTAAATGACAGTGCAGTCTTCCAACTCACAGAGCCTTCTAATAACATTTGTTAATCCAAGCAAATATCAAGGAATCTGGTCAGTGCCAGTGCTGAATCTGCTAAGCATGTGGGCTGCTTGCTAAATCCCTAATAGGTGGTGTCAAGAGGTTTCTGTCATTGCTGCCTTTGGGAGGCCAAATCCACCCTGAAACTCCTTCCTGCAATTATCTCCCTAACTGTATTTGTGGGAATCATGCATGGTTCCTTGCAGAGAGCACACATTCAATAAAATCACATAGTGTGACAAAGGTATGTTTGAATAATGCTCTTCTCCTGTGTGCTTTTAAATGTGAGATGTAAGCCCGTTGTAATTAAAGTTGAAGCAATAAACCTTAGGCATTGATTGCACTCAGTAATTAATTATTGATTGCAGTGCTTTACATACATATTGCAGAGGACAGTTCACCTGTGCAGCAGACAGTACTTTGCTCAGAAATACCCAGTGACAGCCCCTCTGGGCAGGACCATACAGGACTTTGCCAAAACTGGCTCTAGGGTTTCCAAGTTTATTTACCTATTAACTCCACAGAAATGTTGGTGTGGACTGAGAGCAAGCCATTACTTTGGCAAAGTCAGTGTTAACTATTCCCAATCCAAGCTAATTTTGCAAATGAGGATGTACAGATGGAAAAGAGGCTCTTTCTCTGTTAAGAACCTTGTTAATGAAGCTGCCATCCCCTGCACATCCCAAATCCCGAAAAGCCATGCTGCAGTAAGACGCCTACACAGCAGCAACAGTAGCAACATCCCTGCCTAACTCTTGGGAAGGAGCAGGGAGAGGACTTGGAGGTGTGAAAACGGGAAGCATCAATCAAGCAGAGCATCCATGGAAATGCAGGACTAGTTAAGATCAGAGATTTAGAGTAGTGCATCAGGTGGGAACAGCTTTTCCCATTTACAACGAACTTAAAGAGAGCCTTTCCATTATAAAAACCCAAAGACAACTGGTTTAAAAACAATTTAAAATTGCTAATAGTGCGGGGACACTAAAATTGAGGTGAAATGGAAAGGAAACCTGCAGTTTGTTTGAGTGGAGCTCAAACAAGATCTTGGCTGTGACTTCCAGCTCCTCTGGCTAGGAAATGACCCAGGAAAGTTCTGTCGGGTGGGTGCCCTGTGCAGGAGGTGGCATGGGAAGGGGCTGGCCAGCCGGTTTGGAGTGGGCCGGGGAAGGCGGGGGTTTGGAAAGGGTGGGGTGTACCTGAAGTCGCTGTAGGGATGGATGATCCAGAACCCGGCAGACTTAACTCTTTCCTGCTCTCTCTCCACGGCCTTCTGGCTGCCAAACATCCTCAAGGAGAATTTGTTGACCCCCGGCTGGAGCATGGCCCCGAACTGCCTCTGCATGAAACCGGCCTGGCCGAGCCTCTGCTCCTCATCTGGGGTGATCTGGTCGCACCCTCCGCCTCCCTCCACTTTGATGGAGGTCGAGGAGCAGGCCCGGGGGGGCGGCTGCTGGGGCTCCGGGGGGGAGGCGGGCGGTGGGGGCACAGGCAGCCCCTGCTCCAGCTCCCCGCTGCCGGGGGGGCTCTTGTCCTCCCCGGGAGAGGCCGGCTCCCCCTCTCCGCCGATGAGCCGCTTCTCCTCGGCCGCGTCGTGGAGGTGCCTGCTGGTGAGCGAGGACAGGCTCCCTTTGAAGCGGCGGCAGTCCCCGTTGGTGCTGGTCTTGGCGCCCTTGCCGCCGGCCTCCGTCTCCAGCAGGCCGGGGTCTCCCCCTCGGCCGGGGTCCCCCCCGAGGGCCCGGGTGCTCCCAGCAGAGGGCGAAGGCAGTGGCTTGAGCCTGATGCTTTTCCTGCGGGTGTCCTTGTCGCTGTCATCCTCCTCGTCCATGATCGACGCCTTGGGTCCGATCTGCTGGGGCAGGCTGTAGAGCCTCTTGCGCATGGAGGGGGGCAGCTTGTCCATGGCCGCCGCTGCTGCTGCTGCTGCTGCTCGGGGACAGGGAGAGACCCCCCCGCTCTGCCCAGCGAGGGGAACCGGCACTGCCCCCAGGCCCCTGCCCCCGGCTCACGGGGCACGGGGGACCAGGGACTGGCGTGTCATCTCCTTACCAGGCTGTGGCATCCACAGGCTCTGCATCAACACACAGGCTCTGCATCCAGAAGGGAAGGGAATGAGGGATTAAAAAAAAAAAAAAAAAAAAAAAGGGAAAAAAAAAAGAGGGAAGGCAAAAAGCTCCCCCTTCTCCTCCGTTGTCCCGATTTGGCTACTTGCTGCTTGTCTCCCCTTGGTGAGTGTTACTGCAATCCCTGTCTGCTCAGATGCTGAGCACTGGGCAAGTAGTCTAGAGGAGAGCCACACACTTCTGGCTGGAAGGCGAGGGAGGGCGGCAGCGGCGGCAGCAGCCGCCTTGCCATGTTGGCTTCGAGATGCAAATGTGCCGTGGCTCCCGGCGGGCAGACATCATCCGGAAAGCGAAGCTCAAGCCTCAAACTCCTCAACCTGCCGGCCAATAACACAATGAACTGCAACCTGCAGCGGCCACTGCTTGCTTACATCACTGTCATCACTTATTCCTCATGCAGCCCCTGCTCCTGGGAATATTCATGAAGCGATCCCATTCTATTGGGTTGCCATAGGAGCGACTACAGCGCACAGGCTCTGCCTACCTGAGACAGCACCCGGGCTTCTTAAAGGGACAACGCCCGGCAACCGCGGGCTCTGCCGCCGCCGCCGCGGGCACCGCGCCCCGGGCGCTGCGGGCACCGCGCTGCGGGCACCGGGAGCGCCGGGCCCGCCCCGCCTTAGCGGCCACGGCCGCCGGGCTGCCGCCAGCTTGTCAGCAGCGGCATCGTAAACATGACAAAGTAAATAAATAGGAGCGAGAATATTCCTTTTTCTCTCGGATGCGGGCGCTCCCTGCTCCGCCCGGAGGTGTGGCTGCTGGGGGCAGGTTTGCTCGTGAAGGCACGGGGGGTTTTGTGGGAAGGGGCGAACCCAAATCTAAAGGAAAAGCAGCGGTTCACCTTGAAAATCTCACTTGCATGCAAAGCAGGGGCTCGGGAGTGCCTGTGCTCCCTAGCAGAAGTTTGCCTGCCGGGAACACGCTGCCTTCGCCCCCGTCCGCAGCGTCCCGGAGGTTTGGAAGGACCCTTCTTCCCTGGCTGGCGGTACTACTGCTCTCCTGCGGGGTTGGATGTGGAGAAGTCATCCAAAAGCGAATCGATAAAAGGCAGCTGCATCGGGGCGAGCTCCCTGGCTGGCTGCGGGGGCTCTCCCGCGGCGGGGGAACCCCACTGCCCGGGGGCTCCTGAGTCAGCACTGCCCGCCCAGGAATCAGCTCCGCTGGGAATGCTGCTGCCCCTCGCTGCCCGCAGGGCACCTCCTGTCACCGAGGCAAAAGCAGCGGGGAAACGGCTGCAGTTAGGCATTTCCCTACCTTTTGATATTTGAGAGGGTTTTTCTGGGGGAAAAGAGGGAAAGAGGTGGCAATCAGCCCTGCCTGTGCTGCTTTGGGAATGGCTGCTTATTGTGTTTAAAAAGCTCCTAGGCTGATGAAGTGGTTCAAATAGTTCCTAGTGCCGAGCCTGTGAAACCAGTGCAATAAAATTAAGAATCTGTTTGGTCATATGAGAGATTTTGGTGGGTATTTGTGCAGAGGTTCAGCATCTGAGGCTTTCTAGAATGTTTGTTGTTTCAGACATTGCAAATCCTACCTGCTAGGAGAAGGAAACCACGTGAACTGCGCGGGCAGGGAGGCTGAGCACAGCGAGGAATGCCCACGGCAGGCAGGGAGGAAATCCCCACTCACCTCCGTGCCTCTGCTTTGGGAGCAAATATTCCCCTTTTCCCTTGCAGGAGCCACTGGCCAGAGGTGACTGTGCCAGGCAGAGCAGCAGGATGTTCCTGCAGCTCCACGGCAAGGAAATGCTGCTCAGCAGTGACTCCACCAAGCACACACACAGCACATGCTTCCTCATCTTTGTTTGCCTCTCCCGAATCCTTTCTCCCATGTGTTCTACCTGCTCCTTTTCTACTCCCACCTCCTGGCACAGCCAGACTGCCTGTGACTCATTCCAAATACTCCACAGTGCAAATATAATTTAATATTATTATTTTCATCACAATTTCTAATAGAACGAGCTTTTCTGGGGAAATAAATTTCATTCTTCCAATGCTCCTGTAGATTAGATAATGTGAACTAAGCCAGGGAGAGCACTAAAGGTCTTTTCCCTGTTTTTCTTCCCTCCTGCAGGCACTAGGGATGCTGAGGTGTAAGCACTTCTGTGCCTCAGCTGCAATCAACTGCCTTCCAAAAGGATGTGTGTTGATTAATGAGGTGCACCAACATCTGAAACTGATGCAGCTTCTTAAGCGTAGTCCCTCGTGTTCCCAGGGAATGACAGGGCAGGAAAGGACGTGCCCAAGGAACCAAGCTGTTTGTCCTCTCAGCTAGAGGTGCTCTGGCTGCCACTCGCAAAATGCCACTGATCCCTGGCCTGGATGGCATTGTTGGGCCTGGTTTGGTGATGGGATCAGGCTGTGCCTGGTTTGGTGATGGAGATCAGGCTGTGCCTGGTTTGGTGACGGGATCAGGCTGTGCCTGGTTTGGTGAGGGGATCAGGCTGTGCCTGGTTTGGTGACAGAGTCAGACTGTGCCTGGTTTGGTGACGGGCTCAGGCTGTGCCTGGTTTGGTGACAGAGTCAGACTGTGCCTGATTTGGTGATGGGATCAGGTTCTCCCCAGCCCTGAGGCAGAGGAGAACACCACAGGGCAGCCATCTGCTGCATCCCTTGTGCAGGAGGACGGAAGTGATGGGGAGCAGAGGCTGAGCCAGGCTGTGGGCACACAGTCACATTCCAGAGGGATGGATGTGTCCCTGTGCCCGGGAGCCTGGCACTGCCCAGCCCCACTGGCCAGCCTGTACATCACGGGTGGAATTCCTCACCCACAGACCACAGCTACCTTTACACCTCTCTGTAAGAAAGATGAATCTAAGGAAGCTCTGTGAGTTCATGGAATCATCCCAAGTGCTAAATTCAGAAGGTGCCTCCTTGTGCACTTCTGTTTCCAAGTGTGGGTTCCTGAACACTTCTAAAAACTTGGCTCCAGCAGTGCCAGGTAGCCAAACTCAGAGGAATTTCTTGGCTCTTTAAATGTAGTGACAATTTTGTGTTGAGAGAACTTCAAAGTAATGGTATTTTACTTGAGAGCCTTCCAAGAACTAAGTGTAGAGGATAGGAATTATCCTTGTCTAATGGTATGAAACCACTATCAGAGATGGAATTTATTGCCAGCGTTGTGGCACTGCTTTCCAGGGCAGCAAATGCACCTTTAGAAGCACATTTTTAGAATATTTCACTCGAGTATCACTGGCTGCACAGTACATTCAAAGGGGAGATGAAGAAGTCACCTGTCAGGAAAAGGAAGAACTGGTTTTGAGGGAAATAATCTCCTTTTCAACAATATTTGTCACTACTGTTCCAAGGGACTTGGCATAGATACAAAGGGAATGGATTTAGTGGGGAGAATGCAGGTGAAACAGCCAATGACTTGTTTGCTTCTTAAGGAATTTTGCCAGCTCGTACTGCTTATAATTTTTTTTAATATTCATATAGATGGTATTTTGATTAAAATCCAGTGCTACACTGCAAATGTGAAAAATCCCATCCCAAATGACAACAGAAAATAGACTGAGAGCCATAAGAACTGATAGATATCCTGTGGCTCAAGGTACAGAATTAGCAGTGCAAGGTGGTATTTTAAGCCCACCTTGGCTAGGCTGAGAGTTCCCATCATCACCCCTGAGCCTCTGGACTCTCAGGTAAAAAAAGGAGCCACTAAACATGTGGCAGGCCTTGGAAGAATGGGAGCAAGTCCTTTCAAAGCTGCCTATTGTTCCTAGCAGGCAGCAGGTAACTCATAATTGGCATTTGAAACTCATGAAATATTCAACACTACAAAGCAGGGAAATTCTGCCTTGGAGTTTTGGTGGGAGAGGCTGCACTGGCTGCCTCTGCAGCTCCCTCACAGCTCAGAGATAATGAAGAAATAATCGTGATAAATACACAAATCCTCGCTCACCCTTGGCCCTATTCATTACCCAGGTGTGCTGTCACACTGCACTCATTGAAATTCAGCCTGGGCTCTGCTCCTGCTCTGTGCTCCTTAGAGGAGCTGCAGAGTGACTGCAACATACAGCCCAGGCTGATCTAAGGCCCAGAGGGCACCAGGCTGCATAAAGGAGCCATGTCCTTTGGTTAAGGATAAAGGATATCTGGATATCCTTTAGACATGGTTAGATATCCTTTGGGTATCCTGTAGATACCCTTCAGGCTATCCTGGATAAAGGCTCCACTGTCAAGGAGCAATGGGAAGGGAGATCCATGCCTGGATGCTGGGATCTGGGCAGGGGCATCCCCAGAGCTGCTGTCAGGATGGAAGGAAGGGCTGCAGTGGGTTTTGAGGCAGAACTGTTCAAAGTCCATCAGTGGGAGCACAGAGACACTGACCAGATCCCCAGCGACAGCAGAGAGAGGAGCCTGGCACGGGAGCTGAGATACACAGCAGGGTGGAAAAGCTGCTCCCAGGAAGGGCTTGGAAAGCAACATTAACTCCAGCTTCCAGGGGAAAATAAATCCAGAGCCAGCCTGCTCTCTTCACCCTTGTTACCGAGATCAAAATGTGAGTGCTTGTCACGGGTGTGAGGGGGTTGCTGGGAATGTGCTGACAGCCAACAAACAGCTTTGCAACCCAACTGCAAAAAGGACATTATCCAAAAATTCAGCCACGTTGGTGGCTATGGAAAGAATTCCCAGACTGCAGCAAATAATGCCCTGAAACTTCCAGGATGTTCTGCAGAAGATGGTAATCCTCACTGGAGCAAGCAGCTGAAAATCCCAGCTAGGAACAGAGTGATTAGCATGAGCATCTTGGAGCCTGACCTTTAATACTCCCCTTGGAGAACAGGAACCTTCCTAGAAATAGGAAAACAGACAGGTAACCATGGATGGAGCTGCAAGGAAGAGAAATGACAGAGCTCAGAGGAGCTGCTGAGATTAGAGCAGCTGTATGATTTAGTCAAAATTAGCTTACAAAGTTCCTGTCGAAACTCTACCAATGAATTCTTCAATATTCACAGTGCTTACATTGAGCACATATCTTGGGCTTCAACAAAATTT